CAGAGCTCATGTACCCTAACCCTTCCTCACACACAGAGCTCATGTACCCTAACGTTTCCTCACACACAGAGCTCATGTACCCTAACGCTTCCTCACACGCAGAGCTGAGCTCATGTACCCTAACGCTTCCTCACACACAGAGCAGAGCTCATGTACCCTAATGCTTCCTCACACACAGAGCTGAGCTCATGTACCCTAACGCTTCCTCACACACAGAGCAGAGCTCATGTACCCTAACGCTTCCTCACACACAGAACAGAGCTCATGTACCCTAACGCTTCCTCACACACAGAACAGAGCTCATGTACCCTAACGCTTCCTCACACGCAGAGCAGAGCTCATGTACCCTAACGTTTCCTCACACACAGAGCAGAGCTCATGTACCCTAACCCTTCCTCACACGCAGAGCAGCACTCAGTTCATACATTTAGATGTTCATCTATTTTTACATCAGTTTATCAGTGACGTACAGGGGGTTTCTCCCAGTAAATTTTATATACATCCATATACAATATTAACAGAAACTCAGAGTCTATCGCAGGAAGCGCAGAGGTGATGGGAAGGTGTTTAACCATTAGGGGGCGCTCATATACACAGTCACTGATGTACCTCAAACAACCAGTTCTTTGAATGGGGACCAAAATGCCAAGCAGATACTCAGCATAAAAACCGGATGAAAAGCGGGCTGTTTGTGTCACTGTGTACAATAGAAATCTATTACTATGAATAAAAATACATAATTAGCACAGTGATTACAAAAGTAATGATCTGCTAATGTTACTTTTACTTAGACTGCATCCTAAAAGAAAACCCCATGTTCATAAAAACATGTGAGAAACCAAACTGATGAAAATATATGATTAATAAATAATAATAAAAAACATCTGCACTGAAAGCCAGTTATAGGCAGACAAGCAGATAAGCATCAGACTGAGGGGATTATAATGAGTTACACTGCATTCAGAGACTTTGTAGTGTTTGTGCAGAATTATTGCATTATTGCAGGTCAATACCGAATACTTACAGAAATGTCTGAATGACTTCAGAAATATTTTGGCAACAAAGCACGCACATATTCCCAAAGATGCGACTGTAATCGAGATGAAATATCCTGAAATCAGAAAGCAAAAGTTACTATACATTAATCCCCACCCTTATTCTGCATTCACACATTCAATTAAACCTGTAAATATTAACTTAAACATGGATAATGTCTGAGTTTCACATGTTTGAAGATGTTTTACACAAACACCCCACACATTATGTGTCCTCATGCTCTCTTTATCAAAGTTATATGTACCAGGGGTTGCATGACTTAAGATCTTTTCAAGTCAAGATTTTTGTGAGTCGATGTCGACTAATCACTGATGGCATCATTAATAAAACCACAGGAGAAAGGAATGCTTTGCAACAAGCTGAAATCTGTATTTACAAAACCATTCACAAAGACCAGAGTTCGGTTATGTGTGTCTGGTGTTTTCTCTCTGTCCTCTGGTTTCTCCCCACAGTCCAATAACTTGTGTCCCTTTGGCATATCCTCTTGGGTTATTCCCTGCCTGGCACCCATTGTTTCTGGGATTGGCT